TCAGAAAATCTTCTGTGAAGGACTTATGTACAGTTTGGAAGAGCAAGGATGTCTCTTTAAGGACTAAGGTGCTCCTTATCCAAGCTACGATCTTTTTAATTACTGTGCATATGAAAATGGTCAGTGAGTAAGGATAAAAGGAAAAGAACCAATGCCTAAAGCTGTGGTTTTGAAGAAGAGTACTGAATATTCCACGGACTGTCAAAAGAACACACACCTATGTCTTGGAGGCAGTGTAAGGATGGTGCAACTTACCTTGGGCACACTGTCAGGATGGGCCAGGCCTTGAAAAAGGACACCATGCTGGGAGAGATTGAGGGGGAGGGTCATTGAAAGAGAGGAGGACCCCTAACAAGATGGACTGATATGGTGATTATAACAACCAGCTTGAAGATGTCAGAGATTGTGTGGATGGTGCAGATAGAGCAATGGTTCAGGTCTGTTTTTTATAGGGCTATTATCAGTTGCCACTCACTCAATGACACCTAACACAACAAGAACAACTGCTAAAGCCAGTGTGGCAATCTTAAATACAAGTGTGAATGGAATACTGGATAAATAGGTAATGGAAGGAATGTAGGATGGAAAAGAAGTGGGGATAAAAACAGCCCGAGATGCCTTTTGTTACCTGAATTTTGCTCACAATTCGTGCATTGCCATGGAAGACACAGCTGTAGAATGAATTAATGAAGACTAGTTTGTGAAGAGGAACTCACTAAATTTGCAGAGGTAAACAATCACTCCCGCACTTTTACTTGGAATATCCCTGGGCCGTCTGCCACTCTATACACATGGCAACTGTGGTTAGAAGGGAGAGGGCAAACTTGTGCCTATACCAAGAGTCCACGTGGCTTGAGGTTATGAAAGGAGTTACTGTTCAGGCTGGAATGTGAGCGAAAAGGAGATATTTTATTCATCCAATTTGGGCCATTTTGCTGTTATATGGAATGCTGGAGAATGATGTTGCAGGAATGTGTATCCATATTTATGAGAACTGTTCTCTGGTGCAGAAATGCCAAGCACATCACATTCTGCATCTCTTCCACTGCCAGGGTTTCATTTTCCCCACATCTTTCACCAGCCATTCTTCATTCTAAGACTACACAAGCTCAAGAAGAATAAAGTTACTACGTTCCTGAGCAAATTGCAAATGCTCTCCCAGGTAATATGAACTTTAAAAGACCCTGCATACTGATTTAAAGGCATCTGCTCCTCTAAAGACGCTGCAAGGGGTAGATATTTTATTCCTTGTACCCCTGACAGTTGCCTTGGGTGTCAAATACATCAAATATAGGGCTTTGCCATTTTTAAGTAGAATCAAGCTGAAGAGGGCTCCTGATCTAAACCAAATAGTTCCTCCCTGACATAAATAGACTAGCATTCTCTGACAAAGGTCTGGTGAAATGATAAAAATTACCTGCAAGTCAGGACTATGAGAACTTTGAGTTTTATCATTAGTTAGTACATATCTCCCAGCCTCAAACCCGAACTCAAATCAACAGGCTAAAAAAAAAAAGTCAACAGGCTCCCTCCCTACCCTGTGATTCTGGGCATCTTTAGGTAATAAGGTAGTTCCAGTGCAAATATAACAATACAGCGGGTGCAGTTTTCAGCTCTACCCTGCACTGCTGCTTATGGCTGTGCTCAGGTTGTTTCTAACTCACAGGGACCCCAGGTGATAGAGAAGAACCACCCCATAGGGTTTTCCCTATTAAAGGCTGCCATCTTTATGGGAACAGATCCAGTTTTTCCCCCCAAGATTGCTCTTGAGTTTGAACCATCAGCCTTTCAGTTAGCAGGTTTCTGCTTAACTATGCTGGCTGAAATGTGATGTTGTCTTGATCACCAATGCAAAGAGCTGTAGGAGCCCTTTGGATTATCATATGCACCCCTTTATTTTCTCAGAGAAGAAACGAGGTTCAGAGAGGTTCAATGACTTCTTACAAGGTCAGATGGCCGGTGGGGACAGAGGCTTGTCCTTCCTTTGTTTTTTTCAGAGGATATTTAGCATACTGGCAATAAAGTAACTGTCTTAGTATTTAGTAGCCGACTTATCAGAAGGACACCAGAGTTGTCTCCACTAACTGACATGTACTATAAATTGTGTTTTCATCATGAAGACATTTTCTTTTTATCCTTAGAAACAAAATCACTTGTTAAGTTTTCCCTTATAATGTGTGGTCTCATGTCACCCTGATCATGAATTCTGTCTAGAAACAGCTTCATGGCAGTGGGTTTTTCTCATCTATGTCTCCACCAAAAAGAAATATTAAAAACATAAAATATTTATCAAAATAAAGTTTGCTTATTTGCCACAGGAACATCGGTGAATGGAAGAGTTCATTTACTCTGAAAAATTCACTTTGCTGCAGCTTATGTATGTCGCACTCATTTATACTGTCATTGTTGTGCCAGTGGAGCTCTCAAAGCCCAGAGTCTCCAGTGGTTCAAATCCACCATAAGCTCCTTGGGTGAAAGGCAGGCAGTCTCCTCTAGTTGTGATTTATACCCTTGGGAATCCAATGGAGGGTCATTATGAATTGGAACAAACTGGAGAGCAGTATGTTTGTGACTGAGTATCACTGAGTGCAACAGACGGGTTTTAGGTGACACTGAACATGAACATGGACACTAGAGGGCGACCTTCCCACAGGCATCATGACACGGGTCTTCTGTGACTTTCTGGAAAGTTTCTCAAGGCACAGAGAAAAATGGCATTTTTCTTTCTTTTTTTTTAAATGGAATTCCAGTAGACATTTTATTTCAAAAGAATGTCTTAATAACCGTGGCTAATCGGTTTGCCAGAACACTGGATGTCCAATAGGTGTTACCGGTTCTCACTCGCTCCTTCATACTCTCTCCAAACACTCACACATACATGAAGACAACTCCAGACATCAAAATGAAAAACCAAAACAGAACAAACAACACATGCCTCTGATGCACCTCAACTCCCTCATTCCATGCTGGAGTCTGCGAGGGGGCGGTCTCTTGGGCTGCTTACTAAGCATCAATAGCAGCATAACCTTGTCATAGAAAAATGCAAAGCATTCATGCAAGTTAATAAAGTCACTACAATTTCTTCCACTTACCAGGAACATACTGCTTAGTCGACTGAAAAATAAAGCACAGTCTTTTGGGGGTGATATAGTTATAGTTCAGGTCACTAAAAAAAAAATAAATCCCTTTTTCTATGCCCATTTCCCTGTTGTTTTCTAAAAATGTATCATTCGAGAGCTGGAGGCGGCAGCTTGTGAATTCATGCAGTAGAATGCAAAATTAGGCCAACCTCATGTGAAGAGATACAGAGCTTGAGAATTCAAATTTCAAATAAAACAGTTATTCTTTTTTCCTCACGTTTCTTCCCGCGTTAACAGAAATGATGCTTCTGGAACATGCCAGATCAGAGTCTTTAAAACTAGGCTTAATTGTTTACAGAGATAACAAGCATTTACCTACTTTTATAGTCTCTTACATTTTCAGCATTGAAGAACTATCATTTTAGGACTGCAAATCCACTTTATGCAGTGACAGTAGCATATGACCATAACAGGTGCTACTGAAGACAACAGATTTAGTTTTTCAAGAACTCAAAAAAAAGCCTTAGTGATATCTTTCCATCATTCCTCATAGAAAGACATTCAGAGTTCAGAGTGTTTTAGGAATAATAACCCCATAATTTCAGGACTTAAGGAAAGAGGAAATACTCAAGGCTTTCTTTGTCCACCAACCTCCTCTCCCTTCTCCTCCAACCTAGAAGTGATAGCTTGAATTTTGTTTCTTCTTTCCTTTTTTTCCCTCTGATTTCTTTCTGAGTCTAAAAATATTAACAGCATGAGCATCCAGAACTTGTTAGGAAATGCTGGAGTTTGAAGGCAGTGTCTGGGTTGGCTCCGAGGGCAGAACTCTGACCTTGGGGGCAGTGGTGACATCAGATATGAAGAACTCAGCAAACTTAGGTGGGGTTCCATGGTAGTGGCAAATTCTTCACTTGCCATATGCTACCTGTGCCCAGCTGAGTATACACAGAGGAGGGGCCCAAACACAGACCACAATGCTAATGCTCAGGAGAAACAGGAACAGTTCAAGAAAACAGAAAACATTCTTTGACTGCAAAGTTCCATCATATCAAGAGTTACTTAGGTCAAGTACTCCTTTCTGCTCCCCATCTCCTCTCCCACCTCCCCTCCCCCACCTGCTCATTCATTATCCATTGATCATTATAGACTTACAAGCAGATGGCAATCAGCGAATCAGCACCCCATTTACAACCTGGATAACCTCCTAGCACACCAATCAACTACTTGCTTACACGATTCTAGAGTGAGTGAATTCTACCAACAGCCAAGCCTTCACAGTCTAGTGAGATCTGAAATGCCTTTGATCCTCTTCCTTTTCTTGGCTTCTTATTATTCCAGTCACACTGAGTGAAGAATTATTATACATTCATTATTAAGGACTTACAACAGGTGCTGATTTTATATAAGAAAACTGGCTCATTCTGCAGAGTGAATAAGGAGCCTTGTGTTATTCTTCCTAAGGCTTGTTATAATGGCCTTGTGTTATTCTTCCTAAGACCAAGTGGTTCAGGGAGAGCCAGATTTACAAAAACAACTGAAGAATTAGAGTTGCACCATTCATTGTCCAATCACAGAGAGCTGGAGAGCAGATAAGGTCACTATTCATGGTTAGAAGCGGCTTCCTCCTAGCCAAGTTCTGCAGCTTCTCTTAAGAATCTGCTCTCAGGATTTGCAGTCATAAATGTGGGAATGACTTGAGAGCAAAGGAGAGGTCATATGATGCAGGCAGGTGTGATGGTGGATAGAAGGTTCACGGATAACTGAGTCAGGTTCAAGAAAACAAACATCCTCACTAGAAGTTAAGTCCTGTAAATCCCCCATCCTCTGGCAAGACTAAGCAAGTGCTTCTGCCCCCTCCCCTTCCCTCCAGAGCTAGCCCCTCCTAGGCTCTGACCTACCAATCTCAAGCTGTCTTCTTACCTGAAGAGTTTTGACTTTGCCCAGGATGTTGTCCTGTGACATTGCTTGAACTGTCTGCTCACTTTCTGCTCCCCCATCAGGGATAAAAATACTGTCATGGGAAAATGCCCGGGTTCCCATAGTATAGTTGAAGGACCTGGAATGCAAATCATGTGCTTCGTTTTATTAGGATGATAAAATTTCTTTTGGCAATACAGTTTCCTGTTCTTCCTGATCTGAGGGGCTCCACCCACATTCCCCATCTCATTCAGAGCACTCCCAGCCAGAACTGTATTCTTTTCTGCTAAGGGCCAGCCAAGGAGTTGGGGAGACAAAACGTCCCACAGGACTAAGAGAGAACATCTCTCACACAGGCCTGATTCGGAGCCACTCACTGAGAGAGTTCAAGGACAGCCAGTTATTTGTAGATGATCTCAGATGGAAGGCACTACACAAATTGTTAATTGGAGGTACCTTTCCCTGCATGAACTGGAGCTATTAGCTTTACCCCAGGAAATCTTGTCCACTAGCATTTATTCAAGTAACATGCAGATCCAGAATTAAGAGGCAAGAGAGTTTCAGATCAGTCAAACTGGAAGAGAAATATGGACAGATATGTAGAAGACTAGAATTGCTGATACTGATTATAAATGCTTTAGGATTCAGAGAAAGGGGGATAATCTTTGTATTAGGGCAATTCTGTTAGTTATCAGGCACTTCTGTTGAGTCCACTCTGATTCATCGGGTCCCTGTGAGAGTCAGAATAGAATTACGCTCCTTCCCTAAGATTTTCCATGGTTGATTTTCACAAGTAGATCACCTTGCCTTTTTCACGGCACATAACAACAACAACAACCACCACCACCACTAAGTGGACTTGAACTGTCAACCTTTTGCAACACCCAAGAAACAGAGTTGTTGCTACTGTTATAAATATGACTCCTATTGACTTGATGAACAACAGCTCTGAACCATGTCCTACCCTGTACCATCTTCATCATCACTAACAATCTCAATTCTACAGCTGTAGTCACTGTGTCAATTCACCTGGTTGACGGTCTTCTTCTCCTCTACCATCCACCCATCTTTCCAAGTATGATGCCCCTTCCCAAGGAATAGCTGCTCCTAGCAACATGTCCAAATTATGTGAGATGAAGCTTTGCCATCCTCGCCTCCAAGGATGCACTCTTTCCAAGATATAGGTTTGTTCTTTTGGAAGTTCATGGGATAATCAATACTTTTCTCCAGCAGATCATAGGGTTTTCAGAGGTCTGTTATTTCATAAATGGATGGCCAATCCTGCTTCCCAGACTACTTTAATTGGGGAGCTCTGCTGAAAATTGTCCAGCACAGGTGACCCCTCTGGTATTTGAAATACCAGTGGCATAGCTTCCTGCATCACAGCAACCCATAAGTTACCCCAGTACAGCAAACTGACAGACAAATGCTGTACTAATAAGAGCAAAACAATAAATAAATAAGCATGTATACATACAAGCTATAAAGTAATTGTTGTTAGGTGCCTTCAAGTTGAGTATGACTCATCACAACAGCAGATCAGAACCCCGTCCTATAAAGTAATCGTTGTTTTTGTCTGTTATATACTGCTGAGTGGGGACTGATTCGTTGTTGACCCTCCAGCAGCTTTTCACAAGCAGTAAACTGCACGGTAGTTGAGTCTTCATCTTTCTCCTGCTCAGTTGCTGGTGGATTTGAACTGCATGCCTTTCAGTTGATAGTGCAAATCCTTACCACCACGCCACCAGAGTTCCCTTACAAACATGCAATTTGCTTAAAAAAAAAAAGGACCAAAGAGAGTGGGACTTACTAATTGAGTTTGAAATTTAAGGAAGTTTGGACATTTGCTGCATGACATCGAGGCTTGGAAGATAAATCATCCCTGAGAAAGGATGTAGACACTGAGGCTGTGGACTCCTCACAGGTGTCAGGAGAATTAAACACGGACCACAAAGCAAGGCAGGCACTGGGCCACAGTACCAGGCCCTCAGGAAGTATTCCCAGGGGTAGGAGCATGAAGCACTACTTCTTGCCTCTCCATGACTCAAAAAGGATACCAACTGGAGGTTTTATCATTGCCTACATGAAGGAAACAACAGCTAGGACTGGGGGAAAGTCCTAGCTGGTATCTTTGAACTGAATTCAGTGTGCAGGGTTCTCATTATCTGTCCAAGTATCAGAAAGCTCTGGTTTAAGCTCTGGTATATTCAGACAATGGAATGCATATGCTGCATTGAAAAACAAGGAACTCAAGAAATATTATTAAAAATGGGTGATCCTGGAGGACAGTATGCTGAGCAAAATATCTCAGTCACAAAAGGACAAATATTGCATCGGGTCACTGCTGTAAAATGGGACTGACATCGGGGTTGGGGGGAGACGGAGAAAGAGGGAATAAATAATGCATACTGCACTGAGACAGATGAGGGAGAGACTGTTTAAAAGGAATATATGATTAGGTACTGTTGTCATGACAAGAGTCCAGAATGAAGACTGCATAGTGGAGTGGACTGGGGGGTTGGGGGGGGTGGAACTGTATAACAAAGAATTTTACTTTTCAAAGAGAAGAGCAAACTGGGCGGGGGAGGAGTGGGCAGAAAGAAAAATGCAACAAGAAATGAATGGAAATACAAAGTTTTATAAACGTTTATTAAAATTAATAATAAAGGGTTTTTTTTTTGTTTAAAAAACAACTCCTATTTGTTGCCATTGAGTTAGAACTGACTCACAGCTGACCCTCTAACAGGCTTTGACAGCCTGTAAATCACAGAGTCTGCTAATCTTCCCTCAAGGAGCCACTGGCAGATTCAAACCACCTGAGAGGCAACAGTTTTGGGTTAGGAACATAGCTTCCTATGGACTACACCACCAGAGCCCCCTGTCTGAGTCCAAGTTTGTTGTGTCATTGCTGTTAAGAGACATCACATTTTTTTTCAATGTTTCAGCTAAAATTTATTATTTTTATAAAAACATCTTTGTATTTGTAACAACAAAAACATTTTTCGTAAGTGTAACTTGCATCTATCAACATGTCTACCAGGATAAAACTCTGGAGTCATTTCATTTCTTAACTGTCTAATACACTTAGGTAAGACTGTCAAGACCCAAATAGAATGGCATTTCTTTTTATAAATTTTATTTTATTAATTTTAATGAACATTTACAGAGATTTTGGATTTCCATTCATTCATTGTTGCACTTTTCTCCCTGCCCACCCCTCCCCCCAACTCACTCCTCTGAAAAGTAAAATTCTTTCGTTGGTATACAATCCCCCCACCCCCACCCCACCCACCGCCCTGAGTACACTCCACTATGCAACCTTAATTCTGGACTCTTGTGATAAAAAGAGAAACATCAAATTGACTGTGACTCCCAGCAACCCTATGAACAACTGATCTGAACCTTGCCCTATCCTGTGCCATCTTTATCTTCTCTGACATATTTGAGCCCACTGTTAACTTATTGTGTCAATCCATCTTGGTGAGGGTCTTCTTTTCTTTCTCTGACCCTCCACCTTTCCTACCATGATGTCTTTTTCCAAAGACTAGCCCCACCTGACAACATGCCCAAAGTATGTGAGATAAATCTTCACCACCTTTGCCTCCAAGGAGCATCCTGTTTGCACTTCCTCTGAGACAGATTAAACAAATCTGTTGTTTGCTCCACCGGCAGTCTGTGGTATATTGAGTGTTTTTCATCATCATAATTCAAATGCATTGATTCTTCTTGATCAACAAACAGGGATTTATAACCCCTGAAAATTTACTGGTCCTATCTGATAGTAATGAGAGAGAATTTACCATATTGCAGGGAGCAGGGTAAGAAGAGTAAGTGGTTTAAAAATAAGTGTTTCTTTTGTTGTTATGTACCATCGAGTTGTAACTGACCCATGACTCCAGTGGGTTTTCAGAGGCGGGTAAATCTCATGAAAAGAAACCACCTACCAGAGGAACAAACAGTAATAATCACTTTATAAGATGGTGGAAAGGATCCAATGAAATAATGAAAGAAAAACTCTCAACACAGTGTTTCCTCATGGAGTTTGGTTATTGTTATTGTTACCAAAAATCATGCAGCCAGGAAGTGCAAATCCATGTCTTGTGGTTTTGTTTGTTTTTCAATTTCTTTCTATTTGAATAAAAGGTTACAGATAATATTTTTATAGACATTATAGTCAATCTTTCATTTACATTTTGTTCAGAACATTATTTGCCACTGATTAATGTAATTAATTAACGACTATATAGTGGTAAGGAGTTGCACTGCCAACCCGAAGGTAGGTGAGTTGAATCCACCATCTACTCTTTACTGTCTTCTTGTTAGAGATGAAACTCATCCAAATAGAAGAAATAGAGTGAGAAACTGACCTTAGATCTGCTGTACGATCCCAGGCCAGCCAGTTCAAGTATTTTAAAGTGGAAAAAGGTGGGAGCAGAGATTAGTGCAATGGATAGGTAAGGCAAAGGGAAAGGGAGGGTACAGTGAGGTCTCAATATGGTGTTGTAAATAACGGCATTATACAACTGCAATTACCAATATAGAATGAAATGTATACGAGTGAGTGAATGAAAACCATAAATTAAAAACCCTTGACATACTCACTTAGGAATTTTAAACCATGTCATGTTCCCTTGCTCTTTTTGCACAACAGCCTCTTAGGTTAAGTATAGGTTTCACATAAGCACAATTAAGTGCTCTAGGATTCCCATTCTTCTCAATGTTAGCCATAACTTACCATCCACACAGTCAAATGTCTTTGCATAGTCAATAAAGCACAAATAGACATTTTTCTGGTATTCTTTACTTTCAGCCAGGATCCACCTGACATCAATAATGATATCTCTGGTGCCCTGGCCTCTTCTAAATCCTGACTGAATTTCTGGCAGTTCCCTACCTATGTATTGTTTGAGCTGTGTTTGAACGATGTTCTGTATGAGATATTAATGATATTGTTTGATAGTTTCCACATACTGTTGGATCACCTTTCTTGGGAATGGGAACAAATAATGACCTCTTCCAATCTGTCGGTCAGACAGCTGTCCTCCAAATTTCCTGGCATAGACTGGTGAACGCATCCAAGGCTGCATCTGCTAATTGAAACAACTCGTCTGGTATCCCATCTA